ATGCTGCATTGTTAAAGCCTAGCTTGACTTTCAGGGGTCCTCCTCGTCAAAGACAGCCTAGGGAGGATGGGAACGAAGAAGATAAAGAGAACCAAGGGGATGAGACCCAAAGTCAGCAGCCACCTCAACGTCGGTACCGTCGTAACTTCAACTACCGACGCAGACGCCCAGAGAACCCTAAACCACAAGATGGCAAAGAGACGAAGACAGCCGAACCACCAGCTGAGAACACGTCCGCTCCCGAGGCCGAGCAGGGCGGGGCTGAGTAAATACCGGCTTACCATCTCTACCATCATCCGGGTACGTGTCGGGAGGTTCTTGAAGATACAATTTGATGACCGACTTTTTTTTCTTTTGTTGCTTCCCTTTAATTTTTGCCTTAAAAGGTTTGGACTGTTCTTGCTCATGCATGTTGTAACCAAACTGGCAGCACTTGTGAGCAAACAAAACCGTGAGGTTTTGCTGTACAAATGTTGATTAATTGGGAGGACTCTGTTACCAGGCTTTAATTTTCATTGGTGGAGTCACTGCCTAGAATACTGTTAATCTTAAAATCTTGGCTGTGCTCAGTAGTTCAGGCTTACAGCAGTCTTTGTCCACCCAGAAACAGTAATTCCAGCGGTGCTGGTATAGTGACTTGACAGTAGCTAGGAGAAACAGGTACTGGGATTTACTCAGCTCTAAGTGTCCGAGCTTCTATCCGAAAGGGATAGTGAATAGCATTAAGACCTCTAGGCATTAATTCCTAGAAAGTTGATGCAGAATTTGCAGGAGCGTCTCAGTAGCAGCTCTTCATCTAAACAAAAAAGTGCTGGAAAAACCGGTAGAGATGATCCTTTTTATGGCGCGTGCGGGGTGCCTGTGGTTGAAGTACTGCGGTACTGGTGCGGCTTGCTGCTTGGGGGGATTGCGTAAAGGTTGATGTTAAAACATTGTTTTTGTTGCAAGGTAGACTGGCTGTGGTTTGGCACTTGTTTGGGGCTGTCTTCTGATGGACAGTTCTGCTAACTTGGGAATGTTTTCATTGCTAGGCCTCTTTCTACTTGTTCTGCTTTTTTTTCTGGCACCTTCCTCGTCTGTTCTTCCTTTCTCTCTGTGTGTGTTTCCTCTCTCACCAGTGTTCATATCCCATTCCTGTTGTGTCTCACTCATCGCTCGTTGCCTGGAGGGCAGGCAAATGGAAAGACGCATTTAGGCTCTGGTGGGAGCGGTAATGAGTGGTCATGTTAATGGGATGAACAGGGAACGCAGGAGTTGGGCGCGGACAGTAGCTTGGTGTCATCATCAGCCGCAGACCTCTCCCAGCTGTGAGAGCTTGGGGACTCGTTCTTCAAGGGCCAGGATGCTGCTGGGTTTGTCGTGCAGATGGATTACTTGGTACCTCTTCAAGCCTTGCTGCAGTGTTTTCTGGGCGCTTGATGTGAACCTTCGTTTTATCCTGGTGTTCGTCTTAATGGTTAACACCCGCTGGACAAATTCTTAATATCATGGGCTTCAGAGAAACCCCAAGATGACACTTGGTTGCTCTTCCTGTCTATTGATAGTATTGGAGAATGTAAATTGTGGTTTCTGTGGTCTGGGCAGTGGCTTACTGATGCCGCGCTGCCTCTGTTAGGCACAGGTAGAAATCTGCTCTTCAGCCATCTCCTGAAGATCTTAAGTTGCCCTCGTGCCTTCCCAGGGGTTGGCTCGGAGTTTACCAGCTACGTTTCCAGACCTGGTCCCGCAGCGCAGAGCTGTGTGTGTCTGCAGAGCCTGGTGTGAGCAGCTCTCCCCGGGAGGCTGCCACGAAACAGGCTGAAGCAGGAGGCCAGCGCGGGGAGAAGTGCAGAGGGGGGATTCCTTTGTGTTTAAATTTAGCGTCTTCTCTTTCTGGAGTCCTCTGCATTCGTTTTGCATGGAAGATGGCAGTTTTGGTCACCGGCAGCGGGCTGATGGTGGGAGTGTAGTGGGCTAATTAAAGAGCTGTAGTTGGTAAGGTTTTTTCCTGTGTGTATGAAAGTTAGCTCAGTGAGAATTTGTGAACTGCAGGTGAGTCTTGGTAGACAAAACAGCGCTGTAATGCTCTGACACCTGCCTGATCATCCTTTTTTTTTTTTCTCTTTCTCTTTTTCAGTTTAGTCATCAAAGAAAAGACTTAAGAAGTGAAGAAGAAAAGAAAATGAAATTCCAGCAATAAGAAATGAACAAAAGAATTGGAACTGAAGACCTTAAGTGCTTGCTTTTTGCTGTTGACCAGATTACTAGAACTATCTGCATTATCTATGCAGCATGGGGTTTTTATTATTTTTACCTAAAGAAGTCTCCTTTTGGAAACGATAAACACGTTTTTTAAAAGCCTGTTTTTTCTCAATATACCTTTAAAGGTTTTTAAATTGTTTCATATCTGGTCAAGTTGAGATTTTTAAGAACCTCATTTTTAATTTGTATGAAATATACACCTGATTTTTTCAAGTCAAACTGCAAGCATCTGTTAATAAAGGTCTTAAAGAATTACCTTGTGTGCTTGTCGTTTTAAATCCACTTTTGTATGAAAGGTTTTAAGTGTTCATAAAAGGTTTGGGGAGAAAATTGACTGCTCTGTTTCTTCAGCATACAGGCTGTTGGGGTAAAACACAAAAACATTTAAAAAAAACCCAGTAATTGAGCCCTGCTGCAACTGGGTGGAAAGGCACTCAGAGCGAAGAGGGGAGGTGTCAGTCCGGTGCCTTTCCAAGAGCTGTTTGCTGGAGCAGCTCAGCTGTGTCCCCGCTGGAATAGGGCTGTCACAAAACCGAGGTGGTGTGAGGGTGCTTCAAAAAGGGGGAAAACCAAACAAACCCCAAACCCCAAAACTTGTCATTGGAGATGTGCAGAGCATGGCTGCTCTTGACTTCTTGCAACACAGCTGTGATGTCTTTACAGCTGAGTCACTGCGAGGGTTGCTGGTGTCTTGCTCCTGGTGTGCGGGAAGGGGAATCCAGGGAAAACCAGGGGAAAATGCAGGTTCCCAGCTGGGTTTGGAATCCAGAGCCTCCAACAGCAGCCGCGTGTGTGTGCGTGGGCTTGGCTTAGCCGTCGCGCTCGGCTCCGTGTGGGCCGCTTTGCCTCTGGGTAGGCGTCGGAGAGCCCAGACTGCTGCCTGGAAGCCTTTTCAGGTGGTGACAGGCTCCTTGTGTCCCTGCGGTGACTAACCACGCAGCCTGCTGTCACGTGGGGTTGAAGGAGCGCAGAAAGGGAGCTGCACCTTGCGGCAAAAGCTCTCGCTGAGCTTTGACCTCGCAGCGAGAGCCGGGAGAGCGTGGCGGGGCTGCTCCACCCGCCTCGGAGCTGTTATTTCTGCTTGCTCAGCCTCACTCAGCCCCGCAGCCCGTGGTGCTGTGCTCTAACACCACCAGTTATAAATTACCGGTAACGAATGTGACTGGCTGTCTGAGGGCAGCTTTTGAGAGCTTTCCTTTCTGTGCACTAACGAGCTCTATGTTTGTATCATGCAAATGCTTGCTCTTTTTAATTGTTTCCCTGTGTGCTCAAGTGCCAGCCATTAAGGGCCCCGTGCTTTATCTCTAGATACCTTCTAACGTGCTTCTGACTGCCCATCCTCTAGATGTGTCAGCTGTAAGCTGTCCATCCTTTGGACCACAGACGTCCTGCTGTTTAACAGCAAACTGTCAGTCGCGCTCTTTATTTCTGGCACACGGCTTTAGTGACCACATTTCTTCATTTTTCGGGTCCCTGTGGCACTGCTTTAACCTATGCTAATACTAACCTGATACTGACGGACCTGCTCCCATGCTGCAGGGCACAGCAGTTGGCCGGTGCTGTTTCTGCGTAGCGCCCACAGCGGGAGCTGCAATAAAGCGAGAGGTTTGCTGCCGTTCGGCTTCGTGTGAGATTAGAAATGATGTCCCCGCCTCCCCTGGGGACAGACGGCTTGGGAGGACCCTTGCAACTCTTCTGGTTCAGGGTGTAGGTGTTCTGCAGCCTGCCTAGGCTACAGAAGCGCTGCTGCGAGTCTCTTCTGCGCCGTTCCGTCGCAGGGACTGTCTGTAGCCCTGCGGCAATGTCTGCCCAGGCCAGGCGCTTCGTCTGCTGCCGTTCGGGGTTGCAAAGCCCCTACCAGGGAGCTTTCTGCCCGGCTTCCCTGCGCTGCGATGGTTTCTGTCTGCTAACCTTTGGGTGAGAAGTAAGGGATAAGGGCCAAGACTAAGCAGTCGGCAATTGCCGGGGGGGGTGTGTGTTGGTGGTTTTGGGTTCTGGTTTGTTTTCGTAATGGTTTGCAAGTGAAGAAGGATAATAATTCACTTGGAAACCAGAATTCCCTTTTCGTGTGGACTTAAAAACCCAGCTTTGCAGGTAGAGCACCTCCATTAGGCTTCAGACTGACTCACCTCCTTGTGCCTGACATGTCTGGCTACAGAGTTCCTCCACTGATAACCCCATGATAACAACAAACGCTCCAGGCTACTAGCTTTACCCGGTTTTTAAATGCAAACCTTGTGCCGCCAAATTTCTGAGCGCAGGGGCGGTTTCCAGCAGGCTGGTGCATGAGTGATCAGGGCCACCAGCCACATGGAGTCAGTGTTGCTCTGTGCAGAAAAGGCTTTCCACTAAATTCCTCCGAAGCAGCGGAGGAGCTCCTTTGCCTCCAGCGTCCCAACAGCTTCCCTAGGGGACTTGGGGACATCTTTTCTTAAAGCAACGCTTTTCTGGGGTTTGTTTTTGTGAAACCTGGCTGGAAGTGGGGAAAAAAGCCTCCTCTGTGGGTGGCTTCCGCAGCACCCTTGCTTTTTTGCAGCCACTGACGCTACAGCTCTCGCAGACCCTGCAATCGGAGCCTTAAAGCAATCGCAGAGATGTCGCAGTATAGGTGATGGTGCTTTAATGGGGGTCGGGCTGGGGGGGGAGAGCATCCCGCAGCGGGGCTGGGTGCAGGAGGTGCTGCTGCCCATCACACGCGGGAGTCCATGGCATACATCTTGCTGATGGCCGTTCGGCCGGGTGCAGGATTCTGCTGCCCATCACACGCGGGAGTCCATGGCATACATCTTGCTGATGGCCGTTCGGCCCCGGGGGAAGCCTCTGGGGTTGCCTTGCCGGCCGTTCGGCCCCGGGGCTGGGGAAGCCTCTGGGGTTGCCAGCGGCTGCTGGGGCCTGCAGGGAAAGAGTTGGGGTTGTGTCATGGCCGGCAATAGCAGGGGGGCTCGGGGGGTGCCACAGCATGGGGACATGGCAGGAGAAATGAACCCGGACAGCCAGCGCTGTGGGGTCAACTTCCACCCAGTGGCTGGAGATGATGTCTGGCGAGGCATCCCCTGCCCCACGTCCCTGATGGTGGGACGGCCAGATTTCCACCGGCACATCCTTGCGGCCACTAGCTCAAGCTTTGGCAGGTCACAGTGATACAGCTCCAGCACAGCCACTGCTTTGGGTAGATGTCAACACACCTTCACCAGGACCTCGGGGTCCCACAGATGTGGATGGAGCATTTCTGCACCCCCTCCATGCCCTTACGGGGCTTATGGGGTCCTCACTCAGCCCAGTCCTGCCCGCCATGACCCAGCCTCCCCAGCCAAAGTGCACAGGCCAGCTGCGAAGGGGTTCCCCTTGATTTGGCTGGACCCTGCAAGGAGTGCCTGCACCCTCTGAGCTGGTCCTTCACCCTACGTACATCCCTGTAGGGCAAAAAGCTATTTAAGGTGGGATGGGGTGGGACAGGGCAGACTGACCTGCGCAGGCATAGAGGCAGCAGGTCAGCAGGACGGATGCCACGAAGCAGCCTGTCGAGCCAGCCATCCCCAGCCAGCACGACCACCCGAAGTCGTAGTGGACTCCCAGGAATATGTTGTGCGACACCAGCATGGATCTCTCCAGGTAGACGTCCACCGCATACCACACAGAGCCCACAAGACCCAGGATGCCTAGGAGGAACGGGGCCGGTTAAGAAAGAGCCCCCCCATGCCCACCAAGACCCCTCTGAGGAGGTGCCCCTAGCTCCCGGCATCTCCCCAGCTTCCCATGGGCCACAAGGTCCATCTGCCCCCTGAGCTCTCCCAGCCACGCACTCCCGATGCTGAGGGTGACACCGGCCCCGTAGCACATCTTCAGTTTGACACGAGGCTCTTCCTGGAGGAACTTGATGCAGTCGAGCCCAAGGAGCAACGTAGCCAAAGCCAGGCCAGCCAGGAGGTCTGCTGTGATCAGCAGGGTCCGCGTCACCACGATCTTCACTGGGCAGGGAAGGAAGAAAAAAAACACAGAAAGGGGACTGAGGAATGGTCAGAGGAACTGGTGTCCCCACTCCAGACTGCTGCCTGTGTCCCTGCTAGAGTCATCCAGCTCACCAGTGGGCATGTCCATAGGAGAGATCCACGCTGGGACCCACCAACCCCCTGCCTGCCATGTGCTGTAGCCAAGGTGCTCATCAGGCTCATGTGAAACCTTACAACAGGACTTAATAAGCCCGTTATTAGACCAGCTCAAGAAAACAAACAACTTAAGGTGCACCAGTGAGCACTTGGGATGTGGCCACCTACTCAAGACTTTCTTCCACAGGCTTGGACAGAGGGTGCTGCTGTCCAGACTCTGTTTTTTCCTCCAAGTTGTGTAGCTGGAGTTTTGAACAGCAAATGTCAACATACCACTGAAAAATATGAGAGCTGGCATGGTTCACATCACCAGCTGTGTGCAACATGACTTCTCGTTACAAAGCTTTTTCCCCAGAGCAGCACGACAGCTTGACTTAGTCCATGCTGACTTCTTGTTCCCTTCTCCACTGTGCGAATCTGTACTGTCCCATGTCGTCACCCTATACGAGGGTTCTTCTGTGCAGGGCCTGATGTGCCCTGTGCAGGCCAGGAGAAGTCTCCATACCACGAGATGACTGTCCATGAGCTGAGGACGCAAGTCCTTGGCCAGTGGGAATGGTCCTCACCCCTGCATGCAACATCAGTGGGGTTGCAAATCCCACCGTGCAATGGGGGGTAGGAGCTGCACCTGGGCTCTGTGTGCCAAAACAGATTTGTTGTGAGGTGGCACAGCTTCATGGCCTCTCTCCTGCTCGGTGACCCAATGGCAGATCTGGCTGGCCCATGGGTTGCTGTCCAGGCCATGTTGATGGGGCAGGAGACCAAGAGAAGCCCTGGGCCTGCATTGCTAACTGATGAAGGTCAGCCCTTTGCAACGAGGATCATCTTCTCAAAAAGGGAAGAAGGAAAACTCTTAGCTGTGAACTTAAAAAACGCCTCCAGGCCATGCCAGCTTACCTGGATGGTCTGCCAAAATGGAGTCGTACTGGTCACAGGTTCTGACCCCATCCTGCATGTTGGTGACACACTCCCTCCAAAGCCCCCGGCATTTGTGACTTACCTGGAAGCAGGAGAAAGACACTCAAGCAAAAAGCACCAAAAAGCACCCCAGTTCCCCAGGGAAATCCCAGCCCAGCAAGGCAGATCTTCAGGCTCTCACCACCACAGCTGGACACGTCCCAGTGACTCCCTACCCATGCCTTGCTCTCTGTCTCCTCCTTCTGCTCCAGCATTTCTCTATATCTCTAATCCTCTCATCTTCCAACTCATGCAGAAAGCAGTGGGTTTGTCCCACCATGTCCCCTTTCCAAGCCCGTGGAGACATGGTGCAACCCCATGGATGTCAAGGTACCCACCTTGCTCCCAGCTGCTAACCTTGAAGATGGTTGCTCTGCTCACCTCCAAGCTGTCATCAGCGTTCACCATCCAGCAGTCAGTGCATGTGGCAAGGAGCAGGAAGAGGGTTGAGAGAAGAGCAAGACCGAATGCCGTCATCTGCAAGGCTGTGCTGCTCATGGGGTTACCTGCAAGGGCACAGAGACATCTGCCACTTCTGCTCTGGCCACTTCCCAGGTACCTGATCCATCAAGGACAAAGTGCCACCTAGGCCAGGGTGTTCTCTGCATCCCTATGAGTCATCTGGGGCCCATCTCATGGTCCTCAGTGCTGCCAACATGCTCTAATACCCTCAGCTGAGGTTGGGCCACCAGGTTTTCATGTAGACAGGGCCTTCAGAGGTACATTAATTTTGCAGTGGAGGCATACCCATATCGCGTTGCTCTCTAGATGTCCTCTCTTCCAAATAGACCATCTGAAGTTGCCAACCATTAGTACTTGCCTTTTGGGAATCAAGAGTTGCTGGAAAACATTGTCAAACAACTACTGTTGTCAAAGTCTGTGATCTGAGCATGTGTCTCCTGATATCCCAAGGTTTTCTTGATGCCTCCATCCCCACATCCATGTGATTCGGTGGGAAGATCACCCGCCTTTTCTTGCTTTTTTTTTGAAGAAAAGCAATGGAGTGTTGAAACATCCAGGCTGGAGCACAAGCAAGTGTCCCATGGAGATGTTCTACTCTCAAGCGGCAAGCCCAAAGAAAGCATCTCCCATTACGGAGGTGGGTGATGGCTGCTGGGGCTTGATGTGGGTGCCCTTGGGTGCTGCCGAGGCTTTCCAAAGACCAGAAGGGATGGGACCATCTGTTTTCTATCCTTGCCAGAGATGGAGGGACTTTGCGGAGAGGGGAGCTATGCCCCAGGTATGGAGCAGAGGATATTGTATCTCCACAGCCTGGCCATGAACCCCGCTTTGCTGTGTTCTGCAACTCAAGATGCTAAATATTTTAGCGCCTGAAGTTGCAACCACTGCGACAGCCCTTTGGGCAGAGGGGTTCCCATGAGTGGGTTAATTAATGAGACCGGATGGGTGTCTGAGCTGCATGGGTTAATTATCGTAAGGTGATGACTCTTCACCATAGCAGAGTTTGTGACCTTCAGCCAGGTGCTGCCCACCCTGGCATGGCACAGGCTTCCCCGCGGGGCAGAGGTGGGAAGGAGGGTCACGGTTCCCACACCCTGTGTGCAAGATCTTCCACCACGTCCCCTCTTGGGGTGCCGCTGGGAGCAGAGGTACCACTCACCCTGTCTCTTTGGGCATTTCCATCAGCTTCACTCTGAGAGTTTACGTTATTAACAGGCAGCCTCTCAGACCCCAATTTACAATATTTTTTAATTTCCCAGGCTCCCTTCTGAGCTAACTCTCCATAACCTTATTTTTTTCCGCTAGACCCTGGCTGTTTTGAAGCCTTTGAAGAAAATCTGTTCAGCCATTTGAGTTATATGAGCAAGAAAAAAAAAAAAAGAAAAGAAAGAAATCCTGAACCCTGGCAAAAACCAGCTTTGAACCCTGTTAGCAATAAAAAGGGGCTCGGGGGGGAGCGTTACCTTCACCGCAGGCTCATCCTTGCTGGGGTGGGACGATGGCAAAAGCTTTTTGTCGCTGATGACTGGGGCTGGGGACGGGGGTCTTGAAGGCTTTCAAGTGTTGATGGGATTTGCTCCTGACCCGACTGATGGAGTCGGGGAAATGCAACGCCTGCCGGAGCCTGTGCTGGGCTATTTAAGGTTTTTCCAAGGCACGTCAGATGGGCTTTGTGCTCCAAGGCGTGATGGGCATCCCTGCGGTTAGAACGGTAATAGGTTGGAAATGGAGCCTCCCCAAAAAAATATCACGTGGGGAAACCTGTGGGAACCCGCTGGGAACACTCCCTAGGTGGGGGACTCTGTGTCCCGGGCGAATATCCCACATTTTTTAATTAGACCTTTTAATTACTGCCTAGGAGTGGATGGCCTAAGATATGTTGGGTCCCCAGGACTGGTGCAAGAGAGTTAGAGGGGTGGAGGTGGCTGGAGAAAGAAGCTAAAATGCAAGGAGGATAATTAAAACCCTTTGGTCAGGCATGCAGCCAATAATTAGGACCCTTTTTTTCCCCCCCCCCATTAAGTGGAAAACAAGTGATTTTGTTCTGCAGCGGTTATGGCTCACATGACGTGCTTGGTCAGCCGCCGAGGAGGTTTTTGTGACCCTGGAAAGTGGTACCCCAGCTGCCTGGCACTTGGAGCTGCCCTGAAAACTGCGGGTTTGTTCCCTGATCCCCCACTATTCGGAAGAAAAATGGCTTTTGCTCTCGCTTTCTTGCAAAGCATCGTGTCGCAGCATCCTCTGAGCATCCCCGGGATCAGCTGTGCCCCATGGCTCTCGGACATCGCCACACCCTCGCCTCCTAGACCCATGGAAAACACATCCGTATTTCCATTTCACGGGTTATGTTTAAGAGATGTACTTGGGGGATTTTTAGGTTTGCTTTGGGTTTTGGGTTTTTTTTTTTTTTCCTCTAGATAATCCTCTGCAGCATTGAACTGTGGGGATTTTGGCAACGCACCAAGGCCTTGGCAAATCCTCGAGCTTCAGCCCCGCAGAGGCACCCAGGTGCTTGACGTGTGCGATTGCTGTGGCTTTATTTTGGGTTATCCTGTTTTCCCGGGATTTCAGCACATGGCAGGTCCAACGCTTGGGTGTTAGTGCTGAAAACGTCCAAGAGGGTTTGTGTACCTTCATTTTCCAACATTTACAGCTCAGGAATTTATGGTACTTGGACATCCATGACATGTGAAACTCTGGTGTGACCCCAAGCAATGCAAAACTGCAGCTGCATGCCCTGGCGACACCCATGAAATAGGTTTATTTTTATTTTCTGCTCACCTAAACAGTCAGTTTATTATGTATCAAAATAATCTGCCTTGTCCATTCTCAACTGAAACCTTTTGGGGGGGTTGAAAAGGTGGAGGCAGAGGGGCAGATCTATCAGTAGCTGAATAATTAAGATAATTTCCCTGGTTAATGAAGGTGAAAATCAGATCTTGTGTCCCACTAGGTTTATAAAACTCACGTGTTAAAAAAAACGGTGCTGACAGGAGACCCAAATCTTTGTGTTTTAGCACACGTTGTGCAGGGGAAACCTGCTATGGCTGGAAGGAAAAAAAAAAAAAAGAAATAAAGATGTTTTCTTTGATGGGACCATCTCATAGAGGTGGAGAGAACTCTGTGGATGCTGGTGGGGCAGTGCAATGCATAAAAATAAATAAAAATACCATCGAATTAAAGCAGTCATGGCTCAGAGGCATGAGGAAAGCCCCTCTGCGTGTGGACCGGCTGCGGGCCCCCGGCCAAAGGCAGCGCTGCCGCAGAAACATCTTCGTGCTAAATATAACAAGGGGCACTGAAATGGATTTTAAATTTATTTTAATTTTTTTTAATTTTTTTTTTTAAGAAAAAAGGTGATTTTTTTTCCTACTCTGTTATTTACATGGAACTTCAGTGCCCTGTCAATTTGGTGAGATTTGCTGCGATCTTGGCATCCGGGGAGGTCATTTTCCCTTTTGCCTCATTTCTGCCTATTTAAAAAGGAATATTATTTCACAGCGTTTTGGATGCAAGCAAGAGGTATGACCAGAAACCTAAATATTGTTCCTATGCTGGTTTTATTAAATTAAAGAACTGTGTTGGGGGGGAAAAAACATGTTTTAGCCTGGATACGATGTGGACGGAGGCAGATCACACGTATCGCAGCGAGCCCGGCGTCCCGTTCCCATATTTTATCCCGCTTTGCCCTGTGCAAAACACACGAAGGATTGTCCGGAGGACAGTGGGGGCCTTTATACCCCTGAACATGTTATCGCCGCTCAGCTATTTTCCCACCCCCCGGCTTTGATGTACTTCCAGCCCAGGCGTCCATCCCCAGGGAGCCCTCGGGTGACCCGTGGAGATGTCACGGGAGCCACCAAGGACCCCAAACCCCTGCTTTTGGAGATGGGATGCGGTGTATTCGTGGGCCAGGTGCCACGGGCAGGACGAGGATGCTGCGATAAGACACTGGTTGTGCAAAAACCTGGATGGAAAGCATCATCCCCCAAGGAAAACCAGGCACAGCATCACGGAGGGGAGGTCCTGCCCCTCCGCGGGGAAAGCAAAAATCAGCTTAAATTAGCAAAGTGCCCAATTAGGCACAAGCCAGCTCTGAATTCACGGAAAATGGGAGAAAATAAGGGAGAGCCCAGCTTTGAGGGGCAATAAGAGGAGGATGCTGGTGGCGTTTCAGCCTTGGGAAGAGCCCTGCAGAGGGACCAAGTGGTGGCTGCAAGCAGGAGATGCTGGGTGCAACCCTGCTGCATGGGACATCTGGGCTTTTCCATGGGTTTAGCCTTAAATTAAGCAATTTCAAGGCCACATCCCCTCCTTTGAGAGCGACACATGGCAAAAGACTCAAGACATTCAGCTAGCAGCTGCCCAGGAGGGCAAAAACCGTTCAGCATGGGGGAGAATCTCCTGCCTGGACCACGCCGCAGAAATTGCTTCGACCCAGCAAAGGAGCCACTTGCATGGGACTGGCCCGGATTTGGAAGAGGGGAGAACAAAGAGACGATTTTAGAAAGATGCCCATGATCGGAAATATTTTAATATCACTGAGTCACAATTTTTAGTACAAACAATCAGCAAAAGAATTTAAAAATCCCAACCGGTCCCATTCCCACGGCCATGCATCCCATAGAAAAGTTAATGCAATTTTATATTAAAAGAATAAAAACATTCTTCTACACAACGCTGTGCTCTTGATAGAAAAACACCTTTTTGATTGATTTTTTTTTTTTTTAAAGCACGAGTTTCCTTTTCAATCCTCACTGCAGTAGCTTTTGGTGTGTATTTTTGGAGGGGAACCCCATAAGTTGGATTCAGCCAACCAAGCACCTGACGGGTGAAGACAGACTATAAGCACTGCTCTCCCCTGATGGGTGAAGAAGACATTTTTACAGGGGGTCTGCAATTTAAAAGAGAGAGAGGGCTGTTAGTCCTGTGTCAGAGAGAGAAATCACACACCCCCAGAGCTGAAATCGCATCGCTTCCCCTCCGGCACAGACCAGGGCCCAAAGCAGTGCAAGGGAGTAAAATAAAATAGAGGAAAATGAAATAAAATAGAGCAAAATAAAATAAAAACAAAATCAGCTACTTCAGCTAATTGGGATTAAAATAATAGTAATAGTAATAATAATAGTAATAATAAAAATATATAATCAAGCTCTTTTTGGATCATTTCCACTGTTTTTTCCTGCAGGTTAGCTGGCACAGCACATGGATGGATGGATGGATGGATGGATGGATGGAGATACGGGGGGTTTTGGAGGGATTTACGGATGAAATTGGAGCGATGGCGTTTGCAGAGCGGTTAGTAGCGGTCGAGAGGAGGTACAAGGAGGTGGAGGCAATTAGCACATCAGCTCTGAAGACTTCACCGCCCGCTCCAGGGGATCCTGTCGTGGGAAGAGGGATTTGGACACAGCGGGGAGGCATCAAAATTCACGGGTCTGTCCATCTGCTACCTGAAATAGCTGTGCTGGGCACCAAAAATAAAAACAAACCACTGCTTTGTGTTCAAAGCCCCCTTTTTGCCTGCTTTAATTTGCCCAACGCCATTTATTCTTCTGCTTAACAAGGCCACATACTTGTGCCTGGTGAGAAATAAGCCCAGGGCAGATTTTAGCTGGCAGAGCTCAGCTGGAGCACTGGCAACCAGGTGGTTTCTAATTTCTCATCTGCTTGAATCAAGAATTAATATATTAATATAAAAAAAATGTTGCTTTTGGGTAGCAATGAGACAGGGGAACGCTTGCACCCCGAAAGCATCCCTCTGCCAAAAGCGGGGCGCAGGGATGCTCGAGCCCTGGGTTGGGCTGGGTCTGATGGTGGTGGGGCAGCAGCTTCATCCCGGGAAAACCAAGCGCCGGCTTCGCTCCCCGCTTGCTCCCGAAAACAGGGC